CTGCTGCTGCTGTTGCTGCAGGGCTTACTGCAGCAGATCCACCTTCGTTCTGTTGCGATGCTGCTGCTGCGTTTGCTGCTGCCTCATGAGTATCTCCTGCTGCTGCTGCTGCTGCTTCTTCCGCTTGAGCAGCAGCAGCAGCAGCAGCAGCAGTTTCAGCAGCATGAGAAGCAGCATCTTCAGCAGCAGCAGCAGCAGCAACAGCAGCAGCAGCAGCACTTTCTACTCTCAGATCCATCAACCAATCCCGAAAAGACAAAACCCTCAGGGTTTTGTTGTAAACCCCAAAACCCTCGCTCAGTGCCGGCAGCAGACACCGCAGCGGCCACCCCAGAGCATTAGGGTTTGACGAGGGGTCCATCACGCACAAATATAATTGCTGCTGCTGCTGCTGCTGCTGCTGCTGCTGCTGCTGCTGCAGCTGATCTTGCTGCTGCTGCTCGTGCTCCTGCTGCTGGTGATGATGATGATGATGATGATCCTGCTGCTGATGCTGCTGCTGCTCCTGCTGCTGCTGGTCATGCTGCTGATTATGATGGTGTTGCTGCTGCTGCTGCTGCTGCTGCTGTTGCTGCTGCTGCTGCTGCTGCTGCTGCTCATCTGCAGAGGGCAGAAGGTGTTTGAGTTTCTCCAGTGCCTCTAGCGGCAGCAGCTGCAGCGAATCTGCTGCATCGCAGCAGTTGCTGCTGCTCCCCGGACTGTCATCTCCGCTGCTGCTGCTGCTGCTGCTGCAGCTGCTGCAGCTGCTGAAGCTGCTGCTGCTGCTGTTTTTAAGCAATAGAAAGCAACCACCCGCCAGGAAGGGGGAGGTGTTGTTGTCTAGGGTACGGATCTTGCTGGAGATGACAGAGAGCTGAGCAGCAGTAAACTCTTCTTTTTGCTGCTGCTGCTGCTGCTGCTGCTGCTGCTGCATCTGCTGCTGCTGCTGCTGCTGCTGCTGCTGCTGCTGCATCTGCTGCTGCTGCTGCTGCTGCTGCTGCTGCTGGTGTTGCTGCTGCTGCTGCTGCTGCTGCTGTTGATGATGATGATGCTGGCGTGTGTGTGAATGTTCGAGTTCATATACGACTTGTTTGAGTGTGGCGGGTGCAGCAGCAGCAGCAGGTTGCTGCTGCTGCTGTATATCAGCAGCAGGCCGCAGCGCAGGTGTACATACACTGTAAACAGCTTTCTGAGCTTTCAGGTCGATGAAAGATTCTAAGACGAAGCGACACGGCCAGGCTGTTGCTGGCAGCTGTCCATACACCGCGCGGCACGCACACACTTCTGCTGCTTCTTCTGCTGCTGCTGCTGCTGCTGCTGCTGCTGATGGTGGTGGTGATGGTGGTGGTGATGGTGGTGGTGATGGTGGTGGTGGTGGTGCGGGGGGCGGGGAGCGGGGGGGAGATGAGGAGGCTGATGCTGCTGCTGGAGATGATAAAGGAGATAGGTATGCTGCTGCAGATGGCTCGGATCCTATTTCTGCTGCTTCTGCTGCTGCTGCTGCTGCTGCTGCTGCTGCTTCTGCTGCTGCTGCTGGTGGTGGTTCTGCTGCTGCTGCTGCAGAGTCGAGAGGTGACGCGATAGCGTCAGAGTATACTGGGGATAGGGAAGCTGTGCTGCTGCTTCCCTTCTCTTGCTGCTCTTGCTGCTGCTGCTGCTGTTCCTGCTGCTGCTGCTGCTGCTGCTGCTGCGGGTCTCTGCAGCGAAGCCGCAGCCT